AGTATGACCATGGTCAGTCCACATGTGTGTACGCAAAGAGGACGATTCCATTTGCACATGTCTTGTGAGGCATCACCCAACACAGGACACTGAATGTTTCTGCATAGGGCTCTTCACAAATCGAAGGTGGGTAGGCTGTGCCAGATCTTGGCAACAGTGTCCAAATCGACCCCCGTTTGCAGATTCACAAAGAAGTCCACGGAAGAGGTTCTTTCTGTTTTACAGTCTGCCTCTGGTTTCCTGCCGGCTGTTCAGTTTTATTTTTGTATTTGCTTCTTTCAATTTCATTTTGTAAGAATCCTTTTGCCTCTGTCCATCATCTGTTTGGAAAATTACAATTGCACGGGTGACTTTGCATAGGTTCATTCCCTCTTTATTGTTTGCAGGCGAAGGTTTCTCTCTTGCCTGCAATGGAGTCAGTTTTTATTCTGGCGAAAGCGTATTTGGAAATGATTGGTTGGTTCCTTGTGGGGACACAGGACCAGTTTGCTGTTGTTCAAACAGAGAGGACACGAGATGGAGAGAGAGAGAGAGAGAGAGAAAGGGGCAGATGGAGAGACAATCAGTCAGTGAAGACAGGTAGCACAACTTCCGCTGTTGGGGTCAGAGCATGTCAGTTCTACAAAGGCCATGGCTCAATGCTAACTCACTCCACCCAAGAACCCTGTCCTGTCTGTTCCTCAGCTCATGAACTGCGTGTAGCCCTCAGCTCCCGTGACAATCACATCCATCCAAATCCGCATGGCTTCCGGGGTGGGGGCCACCATAAAATACAGTCGGTCATGTGTCTTCACGCAGAATGTGAGGCTTGGGTTGGGACTCTGTAAAGAATGAGGAAATGGAGAGAAAACCTAGATTAACACGTTATTTTCTCAACAGCAACAGCACAACCATTTCTGCCTCCGATGTACCAGCGATGAGTCTCAGACAAGTTCCTCTCTGCTTGTGAACAGCATTAGGATTACCAGAGGACAGGTAAGGCAGTATATAAATGCAAGTTAAGTCAGCCCTTTAAATAGCTCTGGTTAGGCCACACCTGGAGTACTGCATCAGTTCACCACACCTTTGGAAGGATCTGAGGGTCCTGGAGAGGGTGCAGGGATTTACCAGAGTGTTCCCAGGGATGAGGGTAGATATTAGTGACAGAATTCAATGGGGTTTGTTCTCTTTGGAGCAAAAGGTGATTGAAGGGAAATCAGATTAAGGTGGTTTCAGAGATAGTAGGAACTGCAGATGCTGGAGAATCTGAGATAACAAGGTGCAGAGCTGGATGAAGGGTCTAGGCCCAAAACGTCAGCTTTCCTGCTCCTCTGATGCTGCTTGGCCTGCTGTGTTCATCCAGCTCTGCACCTTGTTATCTCAGATTAAGGTGGACCAGGTTATGACAGGTTTAGATAAAGTAGACCAGGAAAAGTTGTTCCCATTAGCTAGTGGTACAAGGACTAGGGGTGATATAGGTTCAGGGTTTGGGCAATAGATGCAGGAGGAATGTGGGAGTTATTTTTACACAGCCAATGGCAATGCACTGGAACACTGTGCCTGTGAGTGTGATGGAAGTGGAGATGATCACTGACTGCTAAAGGAGAATGGACAGGCACTGGAGAAAATGTAGCACACAGGGCTACAGGGATAGATCAGAGACTGAAGTGTGCAGCAGGAAATCAGCACAGCTTCATTGGCTGAATGGCCTCCTCCTGTGCCATATGTGACTCTGTGACTCCCGTGTTCTTGCTTTTCTTCTTAGGCAGGTGGAATTAATTTCCAGGTTTGGCCTACACATCACACCTTAGGGGCTCTTGTAGTGCAGTGGGTAGTGTCCCCATCTCTGAGCCAGGAGGTCCAGGTTCAGGTCCCACCTACTCCAGAGGAGTGTGAACATCTCTGAGCAGATTGTCTAGAAAACATATCAAATCATGGCCTTAAGGGCTCTTGTGGTGCAGTGGTAGTGTCCCTACCTCCGAGCTAACAGGCCCTGGTTCAAATTCCACCTCTGAACAGGTTGATGAGAAAATATCTACACGGTACATCACACTGCTAGCCACAGTTTAACCAGGAGCACATTGACAGAAAATTGTGGAAAACAAATCTCACAATGCAGCAGAAAATCTACACTGACACAACCAGTGTTGCACTAAGGGAGTGGGGTACGATCCAGCTGCTGTCTTCCAGGTCAGATGTTCAGGTCAGGGGAGGCAATGGCCTAGTGGTATAATCGCTGGACTATTAATCCAGAAACCCAGATAAAGTTCCGGAGGAGCCTGGTTCGAATCCTGCTATGGCAGATGGTGGAATTCAAATTCAATAAAAATATCTGGAATTAACAATCTAATGATGACCGTGTGTTGATTGTCAGGAAAAACCCATCTGGTTCACTATGTCCTTTAGGGAAGGAAACTGCCATCCTTAGCTGGTCTGGCCTACATGTGACTCCAGACCCACAGCAATGTGGTTGACTCTTAACTGCCCTCTGGGCAATTAGGGATGGACAATAAATGCTGCCTAGCCAGTGATGCCCTCGTTTAAAAAAATGTTAAACTGAGGCCCTGAAATGGATGTAAAGGATCCCATGTTGCTGTTCAGCTCTCCTCTGGTGCCCTGATCAATATTTATCCCTCAGTCAACATCACAGAGAAACACTGCTCATTATCACATTGCAATTAGTGGGATTTTACTGTGTCCAAATGGCTGCTGTGTTTCCTTTAATACAACACAGACTGCACTTCAGCAAGTCACTGGTTGCAAAGCATGTCAGGATCTTGTGAGGTGGTGAACATTGCTGCACAGGTGCAAGACTTTCGTTCTACCTTCTTCATGGATAATGTGTTACCCTGTCTCCCAGCCTCGACTTTGAAACCCACAGCCTAAGTGGGTGCTCATTCCTGAGCACTATCCCGTGATGCTGCACAGTACCGAATACTGTGCGACTCTCTCACCTTTCTCCACTCCAAATTCTCTCAGCTCTTCCTGTCCAAACTCTTGGCTCTCTCTCTCTCTCTGCCCCACACTGTCTCGGCTCTCTCTCTGCAACACACTCTCTCCCTCTCTGTTCCAAACTCTCTTGGCTCCCTCCCTGTTCACCAAACTCTCTCTCCCTTTCTGTGCTCCAAATCTGGTCTCTTGCACAATCCTGATTTCTATTGCCTTTGGCTGCAGGCTCCTAAACTCCAGGATTCTCTTCCTGAACCTCTTGGCCCCTCTCCCTCCTTACATACGACCCCCACAATGACTTACATGCTTGAACTGTTCCTTTATGATTTGGAGTAAAACATTATTAGATCATGCTCTTAAGGAGCCCCTTGGGATGTATTATGATGCTAATGGAACAATGCCATTTGTCTCTAATGAAAAGTCACATGAGGCTTGAAATGTTAACTCTGTTTGTCCTCTCCCCGCAGATGCTGCCAGACCTGCTGAGTTTCTCCAGCACTTTCTGTTTTTAGTTCAATGTAAGGTAGTGTTGGTTTGTTTTCCAATGCCGTCAAAAGGGAAGTGCTAACAAGCTGCTGATTCTCTCACGACCTGGAAAAGATTTGCACTGGCCCAGCATTCTGACAGTCATCTCATCGGCAAAGAAAGAATTTAATCGCAAGCTCATCGTGAAGTTGTTTTGACATGAAACAGAGAGAAGGCCTTGAAGACCAGAGTGTAAGGGAGTCACAAACCACGGAGAATAGCAAGTCATACGTACATTGATTCTATGCAGGTTCAAATATCCCTTCTGAGAACAAGGAAGGAATTAGCCCAGCAACAGGGGAGAAGAAGGGAAACAAAAGTAGATAAATAAGTAAGTTGCAAAGGCAGATTAATGATCCTGTTCATAATGAGCACAGCTCTAAATGTAACTTCAAAACAAAGCATCACCGGGGCCATTTTAACCCGAGCTGCTGGATGGGAATGGAGTCAAGATGGCGGCTTTATACACTGCCTGATTTTATCCTCCATTCCATTCTCCCAGGGGCAGGTTGGGCTAAAATGACTCCTGAATGATCAGGTATTCATTTACTGCCTGAACACTAAAGGGAAACAGTTGCTTGGTTGTACAGAGTTTGAGCATTGCTGAAAAAGCTGCACTTCGTCAACACTTTTCATTGTTCACTCATCAGGACAATTCACAAGAACACCACTTCAAGGGGAAAACCAACATTTATGTTGAATGAGAAGACAGCCTCGGATTACAATAGAAAGAACATATTTGTGTTTTGAATGTCTCAGCTTAACAAAATAGTTAACAGCCTTTCACCGGTTCATTTCTTAGGGTGATGATTTAGACCATCAGAGTCAACCTGTCTGCTTTAAAATTTAAACAAAGCCTGACAGTTAATCATCAATCATCATTAACTGGTGCATTTTCCATGGCAATACCTCCACCAACCAGAGTCCACTTGCAAACCCAATCAGCAGTCTCTTTTCATATGTTATAAATAATCTCTATTCCCCTTAATTAGGTATTCTTGCAAATTGTCCCGATGGGAGTAGGACGAAATGCCTCGACAAAATATGTCTTTTTGTAGAAAAGTTGCAGGGAATGTTAAACAGTTCATCCTTTTCCTGTGATCACTGCAAGGGGCCACTGCTGTAAGCTAAGGGGGAGATCCCTGTTTGTGCATAACCCAAGAATAATCTTTATTCATGAACATGTTTTAGTGTCAGCAGTGGCTCAGTGGATGACATTCATCCCAGAGCCAGAAGGTTATGAGTTCAATGCCCACAGAATCTAGGCTGACATTTCCAATCCCAGTCCTGAGGGTGTGCTACCTTGTCAGAGGCACTGCCTTTTGTTTGTCAGCACTGAGTGTACTTTAGAGCAATTCATTGGCTGCAAAGCACTTTGGGATGTGCATATGTTGTGAGAGGTGCTGTGTAAATGCAAGTTCTTGCTTTACGGCTTTGCTAAGTTCCTCAGCTAAAACACTGCCCTCTGCAACGAGGCCAAACTCAGGAGACAGCTCATTCCAGATTTTCAACTTTCACCCCCAATGCTCACCTAGAGTTGGGGGACTTGGGTTGGTGACTTTCTGTCATTCCATACACACACCATCCTCTGCATGAAACAGCTACACATTAGGTGCCTTTTATATCTTTCCCCTTTCATCTTAAACCTATGCCCTACCTACTCCACCCTAGGGAAAAGACCTTAGCTATTCACCCCATCTAAGCTTTGATCTTTGTTACAGTTCCCCTTGAAATTGGATTTGCCAGAGAAAATGGTGGAGGCTGGTACAATTACAACATTTAAAAGGCATCTGGATGGGCACATGAATAGGAAGGGTTTAGAGGGATATGGGCTAAATGCTGACAAACGGGACTAGATTAATTTAGGATATCTGGTCACCGAAGGGTCTGTTTCTGTGCCGTACAATTCTATAACTCTATGACTCTTCAGAGGAAGCTAAATAGATTAAATTAAAATGTCATTGTTGGTTTGGGGGCAGGGCTGAGGGAGACATGATGCACTCCAGACCCTGTGGTACCCTCAAGTTGCAGAAGGTCAGAGGATCAATAGGTCACACAAGGGATTAAAACTGCCCTCAATTCCAAAGGCACATGACTCCAAATAAAAAGGAAGAGTGGACTTACAAAACCCAGGCTAAGTCAGAGACGAGCCATGGAGGAGGCCATATGAAGAAACCAGCTTTGTTTAGCACGGGACCCTGTTATTTCTGACTTCCACAGACTGATAAACTGATTGGTTGCAGCTCACTTTCCTGAATGGAGCGAGCACTGAGCTGCAACTGGAAACAGTGAGGTAAAAAAACGATGATGAAAAGTAATATAAATACTGATATTGCAGCCTGAAAGCACTTCACCCGCCAAATTATTTTTGGAATGCCGTGACTGCGATGTGGTTGCAACGGTAACTCTGTCAAGTTCTGTAAACATCTACTGTGGCATCAATCAAGGCAGGCGTGGTAACAATGCTGGAAAAACTCCTGGTCTGCCTTTCATTACTGGAATAATTCAGGACATATAGTGGCCGTTTTGCCTTTTTAAAAAAGCCATTCAATTAATCCCACTCTCCCTCCTCTTTCCCCACAGCACCATCGTTTAACTTTTCAAATATTGTTCCACTGCCTTTTCCAAGCAGCAGATTCTAACTTGTAACGTGTACTTGAAAGAAATTCTTTTCTGTCCCTCTTTGGCCAAATTCACTTAAATCAGTGTTCGTCTGCTATTGTTTGCCACTAGAAACAGTTTCTCTTCATTTATTCCATCAAAATCCTTCACAATTTGGAACATCTGTGTTAAACGCGCCCTTAACCTTCTCAGCTCTAAGGAGGTCAATTCAGAAATAAATAGAAAAGAAGCCTCCAAGCTGGTTGTAGATGCTGTACTGAGTAGGTGAGTATTTGTGCAGGCTCCAGGTAGAGCAGCTGATACTCTATGGGAACAGGTGAGGACACGTAGATGAAGAATATGGTGTGAGTGGGGCAGGCGGATTGGCCGATCTCCTCATGGGTCAGCTCCTGAGCCTCACCAAGGTGACCATTAATAGGTCCAGGTAGTGGGGCCTTAGAGGGTGTGGGGGCATCAGACCTGAGTGCCCTTCAGTGGGTACATTTGTGCCTGATGTTCCTGGAGAGGGGGCACCTGGTGTCCACTGCAACGTTTGAGATCTTTCGCGACCAGTGGGCACCACAGGGACTGGGCAGCTTCATCTCAAGGTCCCAGCCAGCAATGACATTTTAATGAAATCTGTGAACCTTCCTTTAAAGCTTTGATCTTTGGGATGGTTCCCCTTCATGAGCCTGTCATTTACTTGGTTTAATTTGGTTTAGCTTCAAAGTAGTACAAGACCTGGAGGGCCTGCTCTGTGTAAGGGATTGGTGGTCTGTATTCACGCTGTTCATGGCTTTGTGAAGAAACTGATGAGGAAGACAGACCAGTTCCTGCTTCTTCTTTGCCAGATGGTGTTTAGCAGATTAACACTCAAAGCCCTGGTGCAGGATGTGAACCTATAGCCCATCTGGAGCAGAAGACAAACTAATCTAGGAACAGCAGTGGATTGCAGCAGAACAAGGGGAAGATACAGGGTCTGCTGTTTTAAAGCTACTAGGTCCAGGATAGTGTTAGCTTCTTAAATGTTCTTACCTTTGAGGCACTCCTGAGATGGTCATAGTAAACCTCTTCGATGGCTTGAAAATAAATCACTCCCTTCAACTTACTTTCGTGTTTATCTGTCAAAAAATTACATTGGTTAAAATGCACAGAACATTTTGTTGTACGTCTTTTCAACTGCACTCCCCCAATCCCTTCCGCCCAACAATATCCTGCTGAGAACAGGCCAGGCCAGGGAAATCTTTAATTTAAATCATTCACGGGATGAGGGCATCACTGGTTAGGTCAGCATTTATTGCCTATCCTTAATTACCTAGAGGTAGTTATAAGTCAATCACATTGCTGTGGGTCTGGAGTCACATGTAAGCCAGAACAGGTAAGGATAGCAGTTTCCTTCCTATAGGTCATTAGTGAACCAGATGGGATTTTAATTGACCAGTGGTTTCATGGTCATTATTAGACTCCAGATTTTTATTGAATTTAGATTCCTCCATGTGCCATGGCAGGATTCAAACCCAGGTCCCTAGAATATTAGAGGTAACAAGGTGCAGAGCTGGATGAACACAGCAGGCCAAGCAGCATCAAAGGAGCAGGAAAGCTGACGTTTCAGGCCTAGACCCTTCTTCTCTAGGCCCGAAACGACAGCTTTCCTACTCCTCTGATACTGCTTGGCCTGCTGTGTTCATCCAGCGCTGCACCTTGTTATCTCAGATTCTCCAGCATCTGCAGTTCCTACTATCTCTCCCTAGAATATTAGCTGGGTCTCTGGATTAACAGTCCAGTGATAATACCACTAGGCTGTCACATTCCCTTGCTCTGTATCTCACTCAAGCACCCAATCCTCTTGTATCAGTCTCAGCACCAATGAAACATCTGCAATGGGTTTTGTCCAAAACACAATCCCCTGCTTTCCCTGTCTTCAGCTGTCCGTCCTTTCCGAGTGTTTGACAGGCCTGCTGTCAGTCTCTGTTCTATTCTCTTACAGTAAATCAGACAACTGCTTCATTTGTCAAGAGTTTTGCTTCTTTCCTCTCACATAAATTATGCGTTTTGCACTGTCGGCCGGAATTAGCCTTCACTGTAGTTGGTTTTCTATTTACTCTTGGCATTTTAGCATTTCTTTGCCATGGCAACCTCGGGTCATTTTGGTAATTCTTAAAATCAACTGCTTGCTGGGAAATTCACTTCACCTCTTTCAGAACACTCTCCAGTTTCAAGTTGGGATTAAAGGTGACATGTAACAATAAAAAACCATAGATTTTTCTCAATGTATATGAGTTCTCATAGTCTCAATCTTTAAAATTACAATTAAAATTACAATTACAATTACCCTGCCTTTTTCACTTCTCTGCACCCTCCCCACCCCCACCCTCATGTGGCTTACTGACTCCTAATTACTGTTTCACACTACTGGGGCTGATTGCTTCCACTTCCGTATGAGAAATAAAACTGTTATTTGTTTTAAAAATGGACAAAACATAGTGTAAGGGTCACTTACCGACATAATAAGACAATGTCCGTTTGATGCGATCAAAGACAAACCACCGCTTTCTCCAAGATTTGATTTTCCCGCCCATTTTTGTGAGGTAACCCTTGCACATCTTCTCAGAGATAGCCACCTGGTAACAGATTTCCAGGTTGTGGCCTGATGATTCAATATGAGATCGCAGGTCAAAATCCTCCTTCCTGATTGGTAGATACCGAGTTAAGGGTCGTGCCTGGAAGCCAGATCAAGTCAGGACAAGTGAGTGGAGCCCAAAGCCAGGAAATCATTGACCTCCTTCAATAGAGAAGGTAGTTCATCATTTTGGGACTGATCTGCTTCGATAGCATTTACATTTTGTATCTTCTTCTGTTCTTCCCCAGAGACATTGACTCTTACCAGAATCGTTAGAATACAACAGCACGCAAGGAGGCCATTCATCCCACCAAGTCTGTACTAGTTCTTTTAATTAGTCTCACTCCCTAGTTCTTACACTATAATCCTATCATTTATATATCAAGTATCCAATCTCCTTTTGAAAACTATTATTGTGTGTCCAACATTCTGCTAGACTGTGTATTCCAGATCCTAATAACTTATATAAAGTTGGTCGCACTGCCCATCAGTTCACCTGGGCTTTAGTTCTCTCAGAATCTTCAGTGAAGCGAACTGTTCTTCATGTTTTGAGGTCAATGAGTGACCATTTATGTGATGCCTTCCTGTGAACTCTATCATTCCAGCGGAAGGGACTATAGATGACCAGGCTTGGGAATCCTGGTTGATCTTTCTCCTGTCTGGGTCCAGGTCGCTAAATAAAGGTGAAAAACCATTGGCTAGGCTGCAGTCAGTAAACTAAACCAGGGGTTTGTTGGCTCAAAGAAATAAGATCTTCATTATTCTTTCATGCGATGTGGATGTCACTGATTAACTATTATCGTCCATCCCCAATTATCCTTGAACCCAGTGTTTTGCTTGGCCTTTTCACAGGGCCGTTAAGTGTCAACCACATTACTGTGCATCTGGTGTCACGTGTAAGCCAGACAGGGTAAGGATGGCAGATTTCCTTCTCTCAAGGAGATTGGTGAACTGGCATTTATATAATGCATTTCACCACCTCAGGATCTTTCAAAGCACTTTATCGCCATTGAAATGTTTTTGTAATGTAGCGAAAGTTGGCAACTAATTTACACACGGCAAGTTCCCACAGACAGCCATGCATCAATGACCAAATAATCAACATTTGTGATCTAGATTGAGGGATAAATACTGGCCAGGACACTGGGGAGAACTTCGAAACATTGCCATGGGATCTTTAACATCCATGTGGGAGGGCAGGTAAGGCCTCAGATTGATTTGATTTGATTTATTGTTGTCACATCCACCAAGATATAATGAAAAGTGTTTTGCATACTCTACAGGCAGATCGTCCCATACAAAGTGCATCAGGGTAGCAGAACAGGGTGCAGAATACAGTGTTACAGCCGCACAGAAGGTGCAGAGAGGGAGAGATCAGAATTAACATTTGAGAGGTTGATTCAAAAGTCTGATAGCATGGCATCTTGCATGTTTTGGGACTCCTGAGGCAGTGAAAGATGTTATATAAAATCAGTTCTTTCTTTATTATCTCGAGAATGCAAGTTGAGTTAAGATGACAATGTTCAAATGTGAGGCAGGGTTTGTGACCTTTGGCTCATAATCACAGGCTGTCTTCAGTTGACAGCAGGTGATATTAACCCTACTGAGTGCTCCACACTCTGCCTTGAGGTGGCTGTAGTGATTATTTTTATTAGTAAAGCTCGTAATTGCCCCAAAGTTCTATTGCACACACCCTGTGGAGAGCTTGATAAGGAAGCACCAGCCCGAGACAATGAAATCATTCATTGTCTGATGGTCTCTCCCTTTTTGATCTCCGTAATCACTTCACACAACCCTCTGAAACAGCAGAGAAAGTAAGAACTGCCGATGCTGGAGTCTGAGATAACACAGAGATAGTAGGAACTGCCGATGCTGGAGTCTGAGATAACACAGTGTGGAGCTGGAGGAACACAGCAGACCAGCCAGCATCGGAAGGGCAGGAAAGCTGACGTTTCGGGTCAGGACCCTTCTTCAGACGAAACATGAGCTGTCCTGCTCCTCTGATCCTGCCCTCTGAAACATCCTCCACTTCTGGCCTCTTGCCCATCGCCTTCAGTGACTTGACTCAACCTCTGGAATTCCCTTCCTAAAACCCTTGCCCTCTCTCTCCTTCTTCAAATAACATTATAAAATCAGCCTCTTTGCTCCCTCTCTTGAAACCTTGTCCTCTGGCTCACTGTCGAGCTTTATTTGCCACCTTCTTGTGAAGTGCCTTGGATGGTTTATGTTTCACTAATTTACAGGCTCTGTAAAACATGCATGCTATACTCCAACCCCTTGAAATAAGGGCCCATTCCATGAGCCTTCCTGATTACCTGCTTGCCCTGTGCGCCAACTTTCTGTGTTTCATGCACCAGTACCTCAAGTCCCTTTGTGTTGTAGCTTTCTGCAGTTTTTCTCCATTTGATTAATATTCTGTTCTTTTGTTCCTCTTTCAAACGAGGTAAGGAGAGACATTGAGATAAAGGTTCAGCCATGATCACATTTAAAGGTACAGCAGGATTGATGGGCTGAATGGCCCCTCCTTGGTCCGAATTTCCATGTTTCAATGTTCTACAATCCCATCAATAAAGTAAGGTCACACGATGACTCTTCAGGTTAACATGCAGGTTTGGTTGGCAGTTCGGAAGGCAAATGCATTCGTTTCAAGAGGGTTAGAATACAAGAGCAGGGATGTAGTGCTGAGGCTATATATGGCTCTGGTAAGACCACATTTTGGAATATTGAGAGCAGTTTTTGGCCCTGTATCCAGGGAAGGACGTGTTGGCCTTGGAAGGGGTCCAGAGGAGGGTTACAAAAATGATCGCAGAATGAAGAGCTTGTCATTTGAGGAGCGATTGAGGACTCTGGGTCTGTACTCGATGGAGTTTAGAAGGATGAGGGGGTATCTGATTGAAATTTACTGAATACTGAGAGGCCTGGATAGTGTGGGCATGGAGAAGGTGTCTCCTCCAATAGGGCAGCCAAAGATCTGAGGGCACAGGCTCAGAGTGAAGGGATAACCCTTTACAACTGAGATGAGGAGGAATTTCTTCAGCCAGTGGCTGGTAAATCTGTGGAACTCATTGCTACGAAGGCAGTGGAGGCCAAGTCATTAAGTCTCTTTAAGACAGAGATGGATAGGTTTTTGATTGGTAAGGGTTATAGGGAGAAGGCAGGAGAATGGGGCTGAGAAATATATCATATAAAAACCAAAAGAACTGCGGATGCTGTAAATCAGGGACAAAAACAAAGTTGTTGGAAAAGCTCAGCAGGTCTGGCAGCATCTGTGGAGAAAAAGTCAGAGTTAACATTTCGGGTCCGGTTCTGAGAAAGGGTCACCAGACCCAAAACGTTATCTCTGATGTTTTCTTCACAGATGCTACTAAACCTGCTGAGCTTTTCCAGCAACTTGGTTTTTGTTCCTGAGAAATATATCAGTCATGATTGAATGGCTGACCGGACTCGATGGACCCAATGCCCTAATTCTGCTCCTACACTTTAAGGCCTTATGCCAGTGAATAGTTACCTGTGAAAAATGTTTCTCCCGCATCTTAACCTCTTTGTCAATAAGCTGCTGCCGAAGATCAGTTTCATCCTGGAGCCTCTTCTCCAGCTCCTCCCGCCTCTTGCGTTCCTCCTCAAAGGCCTGACGGCGCATTTCCATCTCACGAGCCTAGTGGAGGGTGGGGGTATGGGGAAGGAGACAGGAACCAGCATTAACATCAGCAGCCAACCTGCAGGCGGCTTCTTTCAAACCCATGAGCTGTGCCTCTGAGAAGGACCAGGGCTGTGGGGATCCCTGACACCTGGTTTGGACATCTACTGCTTTCTTCATCTACCTAACAGCCATGTGGGAACTCACTGGGCAGCAAAATGGGCTGAATTTAAGCGAAAAATACACTGAAGGGTGATCTACCTTCACTGCAGCTTTCAAGACGTTCCCCAAACCAGCTGGAGGAGCAGGTGAGTAGACTCTGGGGTTGCTGGGCTATGTTAGTTGGACAAGTGTGATCACTTGATTCATTCCCATTTAATGTTAGCTCATAACGAACTCGCAGACAAGCTGCAAGCAAATACATTAATGGTATTTTTATTGAAAGCATTAATGCATTTGAAAGAAAATGTTTGACATGTTGCTATATCAAAATGAGGAGAGAAAAGCTCTCACTATCTATTAAACAAACAAACTTTTGATGGCACTTTGCTGGAAGAGGCAGATGCCCTTAAAACTCTGACTGATATTGTGTCCTTCATCACATTTACAGAATGTCAGAGAATGATAAATACAGACACACAAAAGGTACACAGCTTCAGTTTCCATGTACTTACACTTACACACATTGCCTTGTAGGCAGCCTGATACCACACATACACATACTTACACCGCACACGTACATGCTAGACACACATACACACACACACAACCAACTACTCCCCCTGACCTTTTCTAACTGACATCCTCAAAAACTCCAGGAAGTCTGAACCTATTAATTGCGACAGAATGTAAGCAGGAAATGATTATGAAATATTACTGAATCCCCAAGGGCTGACTGATCTGGAATAGGAAGCATCAAGCCCGATTACAATCTGCCGTTTCGTACTGAGTGCCAGGCTGACACGTCACACATACAGCCAATGTGAACAAACATGGGCCACAGCTCATGCTAATCATTTATGGAACTGAAAAGGTTAAACATTAACAAGGATCAAGTGAAACTGAAGTTTGGGAGAATAGCAAATCCCATCCCATCCTGCTGCATCTGGCCCAATCGAGATGTCCATCTATTCCTTTCTCCCTGTTATGTTACACAGTCTCTCTTTGAATGGATCCATTCTGTTCACCTCAACCATGAGTTCCACAGTCATACCACTCTCTGGGTTAAGAGATTTCCAAGGAATTTCTTACTGGATTTGTGAAGGACTATATTGTATTCGAAACTCCGAACTTTCATCTCTGCCAATAAATGGAAAGGAATTCTTTACATCTGTCCTAATGAAGTCCCTCATAATCAGTCAATCGCTGGCCCGTTCAGCATTCCCACCTCTGGGATCATCCTTATCGAACATATGTAACATTCCTGAAACCCCATTCTTGTAAGTCTCTTCTGCATTCACTCCGGCAGATTTACATGCTTCCTGGGTGCCACATTTAGGAAGGATGTGAACGCATTAGAGTGGCTGCAGAAGAGGTTTATGAGATCAATTCCAAGGACAAGAAAACTTCAGGTCTGATTGGAGAATTTGGGACTGTTTGCCTTGGAAAAAAGAGAAAGGCTAAGAGGAGGTTTGGTAGGAATTTTCGAAATCATAAAGGCGCTGGACAGAGCTGATAATGACTCACTTTTCTCGCTTGTAAAAGGATCAAGGTCAGGAAGGCACAGATTTAAAATGTCTTATGAAAGCAGTGAATGTGATGAGAGAGAAAGCTTTCAGACAGTGAGTGGTTTGGGCCTGGAAGTGGGTTGGAGGTAGGATTGACTGAGATATTCAAGCAGGAACGGAATGATTGTTTAAATAAAAACAACGTGTAAGGGCGTAGGGCAAAGGCAAGACAATGGCACTGAGCTCTAAGTGCTCATTTGGCAAAGCAGTTGTGACATGATGGGCTGAACGGCCTCTTTCTGCGACATATGGCTTCCATGATTCTTGGCTCCTGGTTTGTGTTCACATCAAACTGGAGATCTTAAAGTAGGATGCAGGAAGTGAAGATGGGCGCTGATGAACAGTTGTGCAGCATTGAGAAGCCAAGTGAATTGGATTGGGGAAGTTGATGGTGAAATGGATGGCCATAATGAGGGAGGCTGTGGGATGAAAGAAGGGTAGATATAGCATGGTGGCTTGGGCATCAGTGATAAATGTCTTTTTCTCTGGATATAGAGTCTGGATCACGTGGTTGCAGTCTCAGGACAAGGAGCTGGCCATTCACGGTGGAGGAGAATTCCCTTCACCCAGAGAGTAGTGAATCTTTGTAAATCCCTACACCAGGCAACTGCGCACACTCCATTATTGAGGGTACTCGAGACTGATGTTGATGGAAATTTTGGACACTAGGAGAATCCAGGATATGGGCATTGTGCCAAAAGGTGTGGTTGAGGTAGAAGATCAACCATAATGTAGAATGACAGAGCAGGCCTTCTCCTGCTCCTATTTCTTACATCCTTATGGAGATGAGCTATAGGGACAGGCTGACCAAGCTGGGGCTATTTACCCTGGAGTGTAAGTCACGACAGGCATGGATAGGGTGAATAGCCAAGTTCTTCTTTAGCAGGATGGTGGAGTCCAAAACTAGCGGGGGATAGGTTTAAGGATAGGGGGGAAAGATGTAAGAGGGACCTAAGGGGCAACTTTTTCACACAGAGGGTGGTGCGTGTATGGAACGAGCTGCCAGAGGAAGTGTTGGAGGCTGGTACAATTACAACATTTAGAAGACATCTGGATGGGTATATAAATAGGAAGGGTTTAGAGGGATATGGGTCAAGTACTTGCAAATTTGACTAGATTAATTTAGGATATCTGGTTGGCATGGTTGAGTTGGGCTGAAGGGTCTGTTTCCGTGCTGTACAACTCTATGACTATGTCACACTAGGTTGGCTACCTACCCATCAGCCAAGAGTGCAGCAGGACCCAGCAGGGAAGGAGAGGATAATTTAGGAACAGCTCCCGGATTTGGATAGGATCATTTAGGAACAACTCCCGGATTTGCGTCGGATAATTTAGGAACAGCTCCTGGATTTGGATAGGATAATTTAGGAACAGCTCCCGGATTTGCGTTGGATAATTTAGGAACAGCTCCCGGATTTGGGTAGGATAATTTAGGAA